CTGTGCGCCAATACCTTGGTAATGGAGCACTCAATACCATGCGGTTATACTAACAGGCCGGTACCGTAGTGAAAGCTTGTATGCTGTTTTTTTACAGAAGGCTCACGTATGCATACCTTGCAATATTAGAACGATCACCGCTGACAGCAACAGTCTCAATCTCCAGCAACACAATCTTGTGAAGATCACTGGGGCAATCTGCGTTTTAGCATACATCGCTACCATCATCGTGTTTCTCACACATTGTCACCCCATCTATCGATTATGGCAAATATATCCATATCCAGGCGACGACTGCGCACTCAATATATCCAAGTATCTAGCTTTGGTCGTTACAAATATAACGTAGGTAACCTTAGAAATGAGCCTTCTTACTTCTGCACTATACTCATCTTCATCCAGCACCGATCTGATGATTCTGTACATCCCGCTGCCTCTTCTCTGGAACGTGCGGCTGCCTTTAAGAAGGAAGCTTCTGTACGGAGTTTGGCTATGCACCGGTGTTTTCATGATGACAGCAACACTTCTCCGCTGCATTCTGTGTCTTCAAGACGTTTCCCAGATAAATGTTGGTACTATCTGGTCAATCCGCGAAACAGTATGCTTCCCACATCCCGATGTCATTGGGACCTTACTAATGCTTGCCATAGTTTGTTGGAATTTTAGCTGTGAACGCACCTATCCTCAAGCCCTTTTTGAGTAAGGCTAGGAAGGCTATGTCATCGATCAAGCCATCTAATGATAATTCCGGCCAAAATTTGCCGGACAGCCTTCGTTTATCGCATGTTGAGAGAAAGGGCAAAAGGAGGACTGTGCATGAGATCGACAACATAGACATGAGCATGAATGGAAGCGAAGAGCACATCGTGAGACAAGGAACAGACGAAGAAAGAGCGAGCAGTGATGTCAGTTCGAGGGATGAGGGCGATGCAGTTTAGGCTCGGCATTGCGTGAGAAGCACGATTGATCGCCATTAGTCATGAGCCTGTCAGTAGAAACTGACGCATGGTATAGGTACAGCGGCGACGCAGATTAGGCTGCTGTGAATCTGTCCCCATCATGACACCAATGTTGTCAGTAGAGTGGTCTATCACAGATCATACCTACTGCAACATGCCGCACCATACGAGCGGTTTTGCTCTAACCATCATCATTCATGTACTGTACGAACAGGAGTCGCATTACTGCAGGAACGCTTTCCAGGGTCCGTTGGCAATGAAGCTCCATGTAGTCGGATGAAGAATGCGCAATGGCAGGGCATGTATAGTGTTGTGAAGCATGGAGGTAGAATGTCGGTTCTGTCATGCAAATGCGTGTACATGATAACAATACACTTGCGCGTACCACGTTGCTCTAGCTTAATTCTCATCTTCCAACAGCCTTCCCTCTTCCTCAACGACTTCAGCTTTCTTATCATCTTTCCCACTCGACCTCTGCAGACTGACCGCAATCGCCGCTCCGATGATAAGCACGGCTCCCACCAAGCTCTCAGCAGGCGGGGTAGTTCCCCATATCACCTTCTCGACAACAAGTGCGAAAACAAGTTGTAGATACGTCAAGTTTGTTGCTCGTCCACCCTTCTCCCTCTGCAGGCCTTCCGTCAGAAGAAATTGCAACAAAAACCCGAAGAGCCCAATAATGGCGATCAATCCCCACTGACCGAGCGTTTTGGGCATGACGAAATGTAACGAAGGGTGAACCAGGATGATCACGAACGAGGCGATCGTTGCGATGAGAGAGAAGTAATTCACCGAGATGAGCGAGTGGGCGCGCTTGCCGATCACTCGGATCGTTGCGTAGGCTGTCGAAGCGCCAAGCGTGCCTAGAATTGCGATGAAGATTGCCAGAGCGCGTTGTTCGGCGGTAGTTGATGGTAGTGGTGCATGCCTGTCCGAGTCATCGGCTATTGGCTTTAAGTGCGAAGCTGGAAAGAGCCATGGTGGTCTCGCGACGAAGAGAACGCCGCAGAATGCGACGAAGCTGCAAAGCGCTTCTTTCCAGGTGAATGGTTCGTGTAACCAGATGAAGCATACAATGGCTGTCATGGTTGGGATTAGGAACGTTATTACTGTCGCGTCGGAGAATTCGAGCCATGACAGAGAGTCTGGGCGGTACTGTTAGCTGTATTCCTGTTCGATATCATGCCCCACCCATGCAGGTCACAATCTTATATGGAGTGACCTGGGAAAATTTGCAGAGGGAGTTGAACTCACAATACAGTCCAAATAGACCGACAAATCCTGCGGTACCTCTCAGTATGAGCAGTCCTTTGATGCCTTTCTGACCGAAAGGAAAGTCAGGCACCGCGTGGTACCAAGAGTAAACCGAGCAGATGATCGTCGTGCATAGCATGCGGATGAAGATGATTTGCAAAGCGTGAAACTCGATCGATGGGTCATTCGCAAGGAGTTTGGCCGCTGTGTTCATCTATTGCTCATCAGTAAGTGGCATGGTCTGCGGCATGCAGTCTTTGCACACAAGAGATAAAACTTACGACTGAACCACATGTCTGCGCCAAGAAAACTAAGAATAACCCGAAATTCCGCCTATAGAATGACTTCAGACTCTGCGATATCTTGCTCCATGATCCTGGCTGGTTTGCTTCCTCGTCCGTGTCCTGCGCAGAGCCTGAAGCTGCAGATGGCAGGCGTGGCAAGAAGTTTACTCTTGAGCGTCCCGCGGAAGGCGGTGTGTTGATTATGGTCCCATACGACATCTCGAACCTTTTGTCAAAATATTTGCGATTGCAAAGTTGAAGTAGAAGGGCAGATGCCGTAGCAATGCGGAGCAAAAACCCATGGTCCGGTGACCCACTAGTGGGTCTCTCATTAGTGGCTTTCCGGCGGTAGCCCGTGTTTAGCCTTGCTTACTTCAGCTAGAATCTTCTCAAGCAAACTACAAGATTGCGAATGCACTTATAGTGTTGCGCGTTCGTTGTGATTGTGTGCGATTGCTGATCGTTTCTTTTTTTTTGGTGACGGAAGCGGTGATACAGTGTTGCAATGTTGCTTCTGCGATAGGTGGGTGGGTGTATAGTACCATGGGATGATAGGAAAATCCAGTCGAATGCAATATTGAGCGCGATGTTATTGATAAGCTTTTAGATTTTTGGTAAGTGCAGTTGCAAGTAAATACGTGAGTAAATACGAAGACATTCAGTGTTCGCAAAATATGTACAAGAAAACGAACTCTCACGTACACCCCGGCCCAGCCAGCACCTTTTTACAGGGTCTCGGCCTAGGAAAGGTAAGCTGCATCAACCCAGCTCTTGTAGTCGCTGCCCAGAACAGTAGAAGGGCTAACGGCAGCCGAGAGCTTCTTTGAGAAGGATGCCCTGGTACCCTTGGATCCATCACCAGTGTTTGCGTACTCGGCATATGTGACCTTGTCAGTCCTAGGGTCATCGGTACTCCAAACTTTCCATCCCGCGGCATTGATGACATTCGTCATGCTGGTCTTCTGGAACACAACACGAGAAAAGTTTCTCCAAGGACGGCCGAGGTAGTAAGCACCCGCGCTCACCGTGTTACCAGGAGCAGCAGCGATCTTCGAGTTGTTGATAACATAGTATGAGGGATTGGAATCCGAATCGCGACCGTTAGCAGTAATGTAACCCAGCGACGCGGAGAGAACGCCCAGAGAGCAACCATCGAACCATGCTGTGGCTTTCTGGCCGAAGATGAAGTCAGTCGCTCCTTCGATGTAGGATTTGGCATAGACCTGGCTACCCTGCTGGGCGAGGATGGTGTCTTGGTAACCCTTGAACTGGCATCCGTAGTAGCCTTGCTTATCGGCATAAGCACTAAGGGCGAGAGCTTGCGAGCCCTGTCCGCGTGTGTTTACGAGGTTGATGTTGTAGACCTTCAGGTTTGGCGTCCAGGCGCGGAGAGTAGCAGTCTCGTCGTTGTTGGGGGCATTATCTTGACTTTTGCCCTGGGTGATGGTCACGGTGTTGCTAGTGTAGCTGCTGGTGTCTGTCGTTTCGCCGTACACCGTCAGGGCCGACTTGAGCGGCTGGATGTAGACTTGCTCCTTGTAAGTGCCTGTAGAAGCGGGGGCATGGAGTCAGTACATGTCTCATATGGAGGTGATACAGTCAGAACTAACCCTTCGCGATGAAAATGCATTGTGCAGCCGTGCTGGACGCACTCAAAGCATCAACGGCGGACTGAACAGTTTTGTATTTTCCGCTACCACCCACAGCCAGACATCCCGGGGGAGGACTTGTACGCCCAGCCCGTGGCGCCAGTGTCGTTGGAGCTGCGACAGCGGATGCCGCGAGCGTGAGAACGAAAGCGATTGATGGGAGCATTGTCAACATACTAGAACAGAGCGAGAAATGAAAGTATAAGAGCGAGTGAATGTAGAACTTAGCCTGAAGATGCGCAGGCTACATATACATACAATAACCTCAGCATGCCGGCTAAGCAAACTATATTGGCGGACTCCCCGGGTCTGACCTAGACCTCCGAACAGCCGCCTAGCGAGCTACGGGGTCGTTTCCCCGCTATGAAAGCTGTCGAAACGGGCAAAGCAAGCCATCGGAAAATTGATGTATGCACCCCAGACGGTGAATCTCTCTTCGCGAAACGACTGCGCAGGTGGATTGCGCCGGTTGGTGGGAATCTTGTTGCCGTCCGTGCATTGATTTGGGTTAATTATAGCGTGTTACAGAGGGCTGACGGAGGCAGTATTGAGGCCCGAAGTGACGCCGCGTGAGCATCGCATTACTGATGGTGTTGAAGCTGACGCGTTGTTGGGCACGGCGGACGCGCCTCCTTCTTGCAGGTCAAGGTTTGTGGGGATGGATCTTGCGTAGGGCCGTGCACTGATCACGTGAGCTGGTGTCGCGCTAAGATCCACCTGAATCCACACGTTCAAGCCCAGCAATTCATTCATTGTGCGACGCTGCGACCAATCTTCTGCAGACCGCGCTTTGACATCAGTTATTCACTTTGGGTGCTCTTGGTTATCACTATCTGGTCATTCTTTCCCTCGCAATGGCTTCATCACACACAACTGGCAATAGCTGCCAAACAATCGACCTCACAGGTTCCTCACCAGAGCCGGAAGACATGCCCCAGCAACGACCACAACAGCGGCCACAGCCAAGGCCGCCCCAAAGACTAGTTCAAATGTACCTCAAGCCCGAGCCACGCCCCTACGGTATGGCAAATGTCGGGATGGAAGCTAGGCATCCGATGGCTTCCGCGCGAAACCCTGTAGGGCCACAGCAGGCGCGCCCTATCCACCCTGAGCATATCAAACAGATCATCGAGACAGCCGACCCGCGCGCTGTGCAAAAGGTGCTGCTCGACCTTTGCCAAATGTCACCGGCCTTTTCCGGCGCCCTCGTCCGTGGACTTGCGCCTCACTCTGCATCCGCCCAGAGCCTGATCAGCCAGCAACGGATGCAGTCGCATCAGCCCAAGGTCAAGATTCAAGATGAGGATGATAGCGACGAACTCTATGAGGCGGCGAAAAGAAACCTCGTGAAGCCTACAGTTCCGACCCCAAGTCACAACAGCTTGCCTGCACAATCCCGCGAGATCAGCGGAAGTCGAGCTACATCACGGCCTCATGGTTCTGAGTCCGCGTCACGAGTGAAGCGGGAGCCACGTGAGCGCTCACAGTCAAGTTCAGACGGCGACATGCACCTTCCTGGAGCCTATCCACGCTCAACCATGTTACGCACGCCAGTCCGGAAACCCTCAGGCCAATCATCCTCTGTCAACCAAACTCCAAGGCTGTTGGCCAGAGACACGCCACAGTCAGCGAGCATCAACAAACAGCCTGCGCCTTTGATAAAGACCTGCACAGTGTGTCACGAACAGATAGTGGACGTGAATGCGCCCTGCGTTTCTCATTCTGGGAAGAGGTACAGGCCACCGGGCGGGTCAATAAAATGGGATTGCTGTCAGGCAGACATTGACCATCCCGGTTGCGAGTTCAACGGACAACATACGACTGGAGAAGAGCTGGAAGAAGACGCGTTGGTACAAAGGAAACGGCCAAGTGCGTCTCCGGTTCCGAGTCGTGCGACACAAAAGAGACCCAGAGCATTCTAGCGAAGATGCTAGGGGTTTGCCAGGTAGCTGGTCGCTCTTTGCTTATAGCGGGACGCGATAGGTTCACGCATTGGGTCCTCTTTTGCTATCGTGCTTTTTGTTTTTCAGTTCCAGTGGTCTTCGGAAGACACTTCGCACCTCATTAGTTCATTGCTAGAAGCATAGCGCAGGCGTTTCGTTACTAGGCAGCATTGATATGGCTGCGGAGATCTCAAGCAGCTGCATTACAAAGTCTTGTGTTCGTTCACGATGAACATGTGCATTACTAAGCCTGCGTTACCCTTCCTGATTTCACGAATCCGGCCTCGAGAACTCCACCATTGTCTCCAGGGCCCAAAACTGTTCACCTTCCCATCAGGGACAGCGATTAATCCCGTCGCTTCTTGAGTTCCGATGCAGGTCCACACTTCAGGAGACTGTGCCTCACCGTTATCCTGAAACTCATGCACATCTCTTCCACTCCTTGATCTGATGCTTATGACGCGGCAGCCACTATCTCTGTTGAGTCACCTCATATGAGACAAGAGCTGAATAGGTCCGCAGACTACATCAAGATTAAAATATGCAAGGTAGGTAAACTAACCTTAATTCAGGCTCTAGGGTGTTCAGGAATTTCCTAGATTGACGTGGAGTGCTCAAAAGACTGAGAGGATACTGCGAACTGATGGTCCTTTGTGCCAATAGTTCATACGTGGACACGTCTTCAATGGTCTTCGTTCTCAACTCACTGTGAGCTAGACAACGACCCTTAGTATCCTGCAAGTGTTATCATTACAAGCGGGCAATTTGTCAATGAAATAGCGGATGTTGCTTGACCGTTATCTCTAAGATGCCCATTCTGACTCGTTCCTCACGCGTGACGTCATGCCAAGTGTCTTGCCTGCATTATCATCGACGCGCTAACCTCCATCTCTCCCACTTCTGCACACACCGTCAGGACGCGATAGAGATGTAACGGACATTCGCACTCTGCGTTCCAGGGAATCACAATCCCGAGCCGAAGATGCATTGGTATAAAGCTGGCGGGTTGCCTCATCAGCATTGGCCCACGAAGCTTGCGCGTCGCACATCATGAGGGTCGCGCCATTCCTATCGCTTGCAGCTCTTGTCCGAGCGAGTACAGTTTTTCACCTCAACTCTACATCTCATTATTCTCCAGATCTTACCGCAGCGACGCTTAGCTTTGGCGATCAGCCATGGGCCAACGTTGAACCTCTACCGATTACGTACCTAGCTTTCAACGAACAAACGATTGTCACAGCGGAGCTACTGGACTATACGATATCCTCGTTTCTCTCCCACGATGATGTATACTCGGAGTCCTTCCTCCATACACTGGTGCTTGGCGGCTCAAGCACTTTTTCAGACAATGCACATGCATATCTTGGCTCCATCGGGTGCAGCATGATCTACACTGCGTTGGACGCCGGCGTAGCATCCGGCCCATATCTACTTCACCCATCGAAGGCTATCACCAGAGTCTACCGGTTGTATTGGGATCACAACTTCGCTTTTGTGGAGTCGGTCACTGAAGGTCAGAATGGGACTTTCCTTCCTGTCACAGGTCTGGCGTTGACAGATGCCTACGGAGCTCTTAGTATCGCAGTGCCTTCACGATTATATTATCCAGCACCCACAGAAGACAAGCCTTTGTCGGGTAAACGCCTGGGCGTAAAGGATATTTACGACCTGAAGGGTATTCGTACCAGTGGTGGGAACAGAGCCTACCGAGATCTTGTGGATCCTGCTCCAGAGAGCGCTGCAGCTTTACAACAGCTTATCGAGATGGGTGCGGTGGTGATTGGAAAGACCAAGACTACTCAATTTGCGCTTGGGGAACGACCAACAGCCGACTACGTGGATCAGCTAGCGCCATTCAACCCTAGAGGAGATGGTTACCAGCACCCCCAAGGGTCATCAGCCGGTTCGGGAGCTGGGCTTGCGTCGTACGACTGGATGGATATCGCAACCGCCTCTGATACTGGGGGTTCTGTCCGCTTACCAGCCATGGCGAACGGCCTATTCGGTATGCGTATCACCAACGCCTCACTGCCACTCAAAGGAATCTTGCCTATCTCGGCAATTTTTGATACGCCGGGCGTGTTGGCTAGGTCGGCGAAGCTCCTCCAAGCAGTGCATAGGAAATGGTACCCAGCTAAGGCATACACATCCTACCCTAAGCGCAGTATCTTGCCTGATCTGTTTTGGCCTACAGTCAACAGCACGAGTATGCCTATGTTTGATGTGTTCATCTCACAGCTAGCTACTTTTCTTGACGCCAATTTGACAACATTCAACGCCAACGCCAGTTTCAATGCATACGCGAACATCTCAGAAGGCATAGCATCCTATCTCGGCTCTACATACTCCAACATTACCAACGTGGACCAGTACCGCGACCTAGGTCTACCCTTTAGAGAGCAGTATATTGCCAAGTTCGGCAAAGCCCCCTACTGGAATCCACAAACACGAGCGCGATGGAACCGGGCCGCCACTTTGCCGACCTCTAGCTATACCACTGCTATCGAGCGCACGCACACCTTCCAGACATGGTTTCGAAAGACGCTAACGCCATCATGTGAGTCAAGTTTGGTGCTATATCCTATGGGTGCCGGTACGGAAGACTACCGCGACATCTACACAGCCGCTCCAGGTGGCATATTTGCTGCTGGACTTCCCGGAAACCAGATGTCAGTTCTGGCTGCGCTACCCGACTACACAATACCGATTGGCGAAAGGTAAGCTTTGACTGTACGAAGTGCATGTGAGACATATACTGACTTCGTACCTCTAACTTTGCAGGACGTATGTCAGCAGGGTTACTGAGAGAAACGAAACGCTCCCCGTTACCATTGGTATGGTAGCTGCGGCAGGTTGCGACCACATGCTCATGAATTTGGTTGCTGAACTTGCTGATGTTGGGATAATTGCGGAAAGTGTCAAAACCGGGTCTAGCATGTACTAGGAAGGGCAGGAATATACTTATGGGGTTTATTACACCGAGGACCCGACGTATGTACCTGTACGAGCTGCGCTTTCAACAATGTCACATCACAAGACCTGCACTCCTTGGTTTTGCTGTGTGCCATGCTTTCCTACCGTTCGAGCACAACCCCGCTGTGATTGGCGGACTATCTCTTAGGTACCCTGTCGATCACAACGTCTGGGGTAAATGAAAAGAGTAATCCAAGGTGTCATCCACCAGCAGTGCGCTACGAACTTGCTAGCTGATCTCGCTGCTTTGGCGCATGTCGCGCGGAGCTTTCATATGATATCCCTTTTCCCTCTGTCCCCGACATTCTTCCTACTCCCGTCTTCTCCGCCTTGAAAATGATTTTCTGCACCGTTCTGCCCCTGCTAATATCCTCCGTCGCCGCCCTCGCTTTCCCGGGCGCAGAAGGCTTTGGGCGAGATGCTGTCGGCGGTCGTGGTGGTGCCGTCTATGTTGTTACAAATCTCAACGATAGCGGCGAAGGATCTCTCCGCGAGGGCGTTTCTCAAAGCGACCGTATAGTCGTGTTCTCGATAGGTGGTTTGATCAAGATTGAAGAGCGCATGGTCGTGGCCAAACGTGTGTCTATCCTCGGGCAAACAGCACCGGGCGCTGGTATCACAGTGTACGGAAATGGATGGAGTTTCAGCAACGCCGACGATGCGATTGTCCGGTACTTGCGCATCAGAATGGGAAAAGGAGGAGACAGTGGAAAAGATGGTATAACGATCGCAGAGGGACGCAATATGATTTTCGACCACGTCTCCGTCTCCTGGGGTCGTGATGAGACCTTCTCGATCTCTGGCAGCGACGTCGGAAACATCACCATTCAGAACAGTATCATCGGGCAAGGCTTGCAAACACACTCGTGTGGCGGGCTGATGCAAACGAACCTCGGCAATGGTATCAGCCTGTTCCGCAACTTATACATCGACAACAAAACGCGAAACCCGAAGGTTAAGGGCACTAATGACTTCACCAATAATGTGGTGTACAACTGGGGCGGGGGTGGAGGATACATCGCTGGAGATTCGAGTGCAGCAAGTGAGGCGAATATCGTTGGAAATTACTTCATCTGCGGCCCCAGTACCAGCGTCACGGCGTTCACGCGCGGAAATGAGAACTTCAAGGGCTACGTTGAAGGCAACTTCTACGACTCGAACCGCGATGGCATGTTGGACGGAACGGAGCTAGAAGTGTCCTCCAGCAACTATGGGGGCATGGTTATCCAGACAACCAAGTTTCCTTTCCCAGCGCCCGAAAAGATTCTATCCGCGGAAGATGCGCTAAAGCTTGCCGAGAGGTCTGTCGGCGCGAGTAAAGTGCGCGATGTTGTTGACACGCGACTCATTGAGGAACTGAAGAGCTACGGGAAGACGGGTGAGCTGATTAGTGACGAGAATGCTAGCCCTATGGCCGGGCCTGGAACTATCGACGGTGGAGAGCAGTGGTCGGATGCGAATGGAAATGGCATACCTGACGACGTCGAGGATCAGTTCTCGGATGTGGAAGAGTGGGCTAATAGTTTAGTGCCAAGTGGTTACTAGATAGCAAATCGCATTTTCTAGCACGTATCGCAAAAGACTAACTCAGTTTCTTTCAAAATGGTCAAGTCGATTAATCATTTATTTACTGTAAAGAATGTGTGCTTGAAGTGGAGGGACTAAGCATATGCCAACACCGAAATCGCAGTCTGGCTGATAGGATACAAAGTTTCATCTTCGCATCAAAGCCTCTCTCGTAGCCACCTATGCGGAAGCAATTTGAGCCCTCAAGAAGATGGGTGCCTGTACAGCAGCCTCATCCGAGTACAGGAGATGCGCAGGTGTGATGATGAGTGTTCCGGTGCAGACCAAGTCGCCAGTCTCGCAGTAGACCCTAGTCTTGCTGGTTGGGAAGCCGGGGATTCTTCCGCCATCTGGGACGTTGTTAGAGACTGTTGTATAGGATGTTAAGAGAAGGAAAGAGCTTACTTTGAAGGTTCTTGGTGTAGCCAAACAGCACTACGCCCTTGATCTGGTTCTGTACAGCAGCACTCAGACCGGGAATAGCGTTTGACATGACGGCAGCGCCTTGAGAGTAACCACCTGCAGTGATAGGCGTGTTTGGGCACTTGCTCGCAGCAAGGTTGAAGAGACGTTGGGCTTCGCGGATGGCGGCTTGAGAAGTACCGGCTGGAAGCGTGTTCTCTGCAATACCAGCAGTGTATGGGCCGCCTACACCCTGGATCCAGGTAGTGGATGCTCCGTATGCGCTCTCGAGAGCGCTGGCTGTGAAAGGACCAACTAAGGCGCCCATGTTGCCAGCTTCAGTGCTGCCTCTTGCGAAGATGAAGATAGTCCTAGGGCAGGCAGCGCTGCTGCCATTCTCCAGCTCATTGCGAGTGGCGCTTGACTGACGAGCCTCGAGTGTGATGGGCTGAGGTGCATCCTCCGGCGCAGAGGCAGGTACAGCGATCGGGGAAGAAAGAACGAGGGAAGCAAAAAGAGAAAGAATGGTGACGGACTTCATATTGACAATTGTAGTAACGATGGACGATGCCTGGTGGCTCTGAAGACAGAAGTAGTAGAAAGAAGCTGGAAGTTGGCTGTTTGACTGTGCTGTGATTCTTCCCATCTGGGTTCCCCCCTTCCCTTTATGTTCCTCCTAGCATGTCCAAGTAACTGGTTCTAAATCCACATCCTTCGCGCCTACCTCGGTATTTAGATTGCCTAGAATCTTGTAATGCAACTCGAATAGTGGTTGACGGACGTGAACTCCCCAAAAGAGCGCTGTGACCGTTCTATCAGGTGTCACAACAATTCGAGATACCCTTGGCATTTCTGCTCTTACCCCCATAGGTAAGACCTTGGCTTGAAGAGATCTAGTGAGCAGATGCAGAGCCCTTGAGATGATAGAGCAAAAACGGCAACAGTGGTCCGAAGTATTGTGACACCTGGGAGTCCTTTGTCTCCGAGATCGAGATCTCGTATTTGGCGTTGACCTTCGAGCATCTGACCAGTAGGCATCATGTTTAGATTTGAGCTTCCTCGGTCCAGGAACTGGTGCCTGCGATCTCTTTCTGGGCATGCATGTCCGGGAGACATGGATAGAGCTGATGGTGGGATGAACTGGTCGCGTGGTAGTCGGACGAGGATTTGCTGCTAGGTTCATCGGCCGCTATTGGACTTTCAGGTCAAGCTCGCGAATCGAAGCCGAGGCACGGTTGTGCCTACATGAATGCGATGAAGTCCTGGCCTAAGTGAGATGGAAGCTCGTGATGTGGGGTACATACACCGGAGCTCTCTTTCGCGGGCATATACCCCGCACATCCACTACGAGAGCGCGCTAAGGCCCCCAGATGATGTGTAGCGAACGGTGTCGGGGCAAGATACCCGATTTTGACGTTTGCCGTCTTTACAGGAGTTGGAAGTTTTGGTGTTGTTTACCTCGCTCCTGTAGGCTAAGGGAAGAACGGCATGAAGGATTGGTACCTTCCGCATATGGACACCGTGCATACAACGCATACAAACAATACTCAGATTATCTCTGGGCTCAAGGATTTAGTTTAGGCAGTTCTTCCAAAAAGAAAGGGAGGTTATCGGATTACGGCTAAAATACCATGCCTGCGTGGGATATCCCGCGTCTATCCACAACCTAATGTTGCATCAAAGCAGCTGCCGTAAGTACCTTGTTGGGCGTTCTGGTTCGTCGCTTCGGAGGACTCAGTGGTACGTAAGACAGAACCCTGGCGCTGGCGCATCCAAGGATGAAGACGAACGCATAGAACGCCAGCAGATTCTGAAATACGGCCAACGTTGTCACGCCATAGATCAAAGTACACAACGGCCAGAAGAATTCCGATACGTATGTCCATACGTAGACTGCGAAGCGACGTAGACTGTTCAAACACATTTGAACGTGTGCTCGATAGGCGTAGATGTACTCGGTTGTCGTTGGAGGCGCAAGTATTCTTTCCCAGTGTTCTCGTCGCGCCTCGTGTGTCCATGTACGCACTCCAAGAGGCCCGGCGGCCCTAGTCTCGAGAAGATATCTCCATATAATCTTCAGCTGCCTGTCCCAGCTATAAGGCTTCTCCTGTTGCATGAATCTCTCCCATTTCTTTACAGTATTGACTGCCATCTCTTCGGTGACTTGAAACCATTCCTTGTGTGCTTTGATCTCCTTGTTCGCATCGACGCGCCCGTGATTTTCGCAATGGAATGGTGCACAGAAGTTCTCCAGGTCGATATGCACAAGCTTCTCTAGGCGACCACAATGGTCAATCTCGTGATCTGACACGTGAATCACACTGGGCAGGAAGCCACAGGCTCTTTCGTGCTCAATGATGCGGTTTCTATAGGCTCGTTTCGTCTTTCCGATCTTGTAACCTCTGGATTTGTTGTTTGGGTCACATAGAACATAGATGACTCCTTTCCGATCGCCAGGAGTCAGATTCCTGAGCAGCTCTCCATACAAGCTGTCGTGGGTAGATCTGGCGGTCTTTGGGGTCAGGACTGGCGAGAATCCATCGTGCTCTTGATGAGGTTGCTGATTCGCTTCGGCGTGAGAGGGTGATGGGGAATACCGCACTTCAGATGTCGATAGCCCATCCACTTCAAGATCTTGACTACCATCACGCCGTGGACGCTTACGTGGAATGCAGTCCTGCGAAAGTCGTGCGGCGTCATCGATGATTTGTTTTGGGTGTCTGATGGAGTCAGAGACTGTTCGCGACGGCTGACTGGAAAACTTGTCGCGAATAGTTGAC